CGCGACTACCTGAAGAACCTGCACATCGAGTACAGCTACCAGTGTCACCGCGAGGGCGACCCCGACGGTAAGCGCCGCTCCCCGCTGCCCCCCGCGGGACCTCTCTTCCCCTCCGCGCCCATCACCGCTGCCTTGCAGGTTGCCAGCGCCTCGCCGACTACCTGGAGGCCGTGAAGAAGGACTTCGACGCGGCGGCGCGGGTGCTGCGCGAAAACTGCGAGGCGCACGAGCACAGCGAGAGCTGCTACAAGCTGGGAGGCTACCAGGCTATCGGGAAAGGTGAGCCGAAGGTGGTGGGTGTTCTTCTCTCCCTCCTGGCAGTCCCGGCACCACCTTTCACGTGCTGAGTGACTGGCGACCTGGTCGTGTTGTGGGTGAGGGATGAGCGGCAGGTTCTGCGGCAGGGAGGGCCCCTGGAGAAATGCACCTGTTTTTTATGGGGAGTTACGAGCTTGCCTTTCTCTTGACCTTGAAAAAGGAAGTAAGTGGCTTTCCTCTCTTACGGTCTTGCAGTTAAGGCTAGGAAAGGGTGGAAGACTTTTGTTGTACAGTTTTCAGCATTTTTCTTTTAGTCAGTGAGTGGTTGCTAGAGCTTTTCTGCAAGATATATTTATCTTGTAAGCTCAGAGTTGCAGAGCTGGATGAGTCCTCTCAGGTTTCTGTGGCTTGGAAGACTGAGGATAAAGCAGAAGCCTTAGCTATAGGAATAGAACTGTAGTTACTTTTAGAGAGGTCTGCAACATGTCTTTGTGTTTTTGCAGCTGCGGTTAGATTTAGGAGCATTTGTTGTCCCAGGCTATCTGTGTCTTCCAGATAATGACAATGCAAGAGCAAAAAAAAAAAAGTACATTTTCTAGCTTAGAATACCTTAAACTATTTAAAATACTCCTCTTACTACACAAGTCAGTGTTTTAGGTACAGAGTGAAAAAAGATGCAGCACATGCTTACTGTAATCTTTTGGGTTTTTTTTTTTTGTTGTTGGCAGGTGGACTCATCCCAGATTTGAAAGCTGCCTACAACTCCTTTATGAAGTCTTGTGAGAAAGGTGGGAAGAAGTCAATAAATGCCTGTCATAACATCGGGCTCTTGGCCCACGATGGGCGAGTAAATGACGGTAAACCTGACCCAGTTGTCGCTAGAGACTATTACACAAAAGCTTGTGATGGCAATTTTGCTGCTAGCTGCTTCAACCTCAGTGTAATATACCTGCAGGGAGCACAGGGGATCCCTAAGGACATGAACCAAGCCTTGAAGTATTCCCTGAAAGCCTGTGAGCTGGGTCATGTGTGGGCTTGTGCTAATGCCAGTCGAATGTACAAACTAGGAGATGGCATTGAGAAGAATGATGCCAAGGCAGAAGCATTGAAAAACAAGGCAAAACAGTTGCATAAAGAACAGAGAGAAGCACCGATGTCTGTAACATTTGGGAATTAAAACTGTCAGTTGTAGTTCTTAAACCTGCAATTTTACATGTTGAGTGAACTTATTATTTAAATCACATGGGCATATGGTTTTTAATCGTAGTAAATAAATATTCTGTAAATTTTTTGCATATACAAATAAACCTATGTTTTGTCGACATAATGTGGTCAACTCTGCTGCCTTTTTATCCACCTTTAAATATATGAGTTTTTAGATTCCTGCTCTTCCTTTAAGAAGAGCAAAAACTTCTGATGTTTGGGAAGTTTGTCTCTATGATTTCAAGCATGGAGAGTTCTCACTTATTCATGTGTCAGTGTCAAGGCTTGTGCTAGAGGAAGTTCTAATGCAAAAAATATAGTTGCAAGATCATTCAAACTTCAGCATTCAAAACTGTACCTGCAAACTTACGAGCATCTGTGGAACTTAGATGATGTGCACATGTGGATGGTCTGCTCTGAGCCATGTCAGTACCGGAATGGTCTGAGAAACCTGAGTCAATTCATTTGCTGAAGGTAACATTTGTTGTCCTAAAACTGTACTAAAACTTGTTTTATTTGCTCTGTCTTCAAACTGTAAAAAAAAAAAAAAAACCCCACACATAACCAGGAGAAAAAAAACCAAATACTTTGATCTATGAAGAAATACTAATTTTGTATTCTACTAAGGTATCTTTAATGTCATAACTTCATCTGAGAAGCTTGGATTTATTGAATGAGTCTCTTAAGTTTTACAGGGTGTTACTGAGTATAATTCTTTTAATTTTATAAATGTTTATTATTTGTTGGAAGTACTTAAATTTCTAAATAATTCAGCATTTAAATGGAGTCAAATCAATAATCTGTTTTTCAAGAGTAACTTTTGGCATAAAATGTTTGATTTGGAGGGGGGAAAAGGGCCAGTTATAAAAGCTGTGTGGGTTTGTTTGTTTTGCTCTCTTGATGTTGTTGAATATGAAAAAAAAATGTCAGTGGAACACTTCTTCAGCATACAAGTAAAAGCTGTCTTCTGTAGAAGTAAATGTTTTTGGGGGAATTGTCCAAAGTCCCTCTCCTAAAGGAAATTTTAGCGTACAAAATTGAAGTAGATTCTTTTGGGCAAGCAGCTCTGCCTGTTGGAGCTGTGTCCTCTTGTGCTCCTTTTTTGGAAACACCTGCTCTTGTGGAGCCCACTGGCTGTGCCCATTTGTCACAGCCAGGAACACTGATTTGCCCAAGGGGGGCAGTGCAAACCCAGGAAGTCTCCTTTCTGCCTAACTTCATGCTATGCTGTCATACTTGCTCTGCTTAAGGCTCTTTGGTCCCATCTGCCATTTTATATATTCATTTACACTTCTAAACATTGTAATACAAATCTCCAGCAATACTCTTCTTATGGTAAAAAGCAGCTTGCAGTTGTTTGGTGTCATCTTTTATATGCAAATTAAAAATAGTATCCCTCAGTCTGGGAAAAGAAAAAAAAGCTGTGGAAACTGTCAGTAAAAAATGCCATCTGGGATGTGGCACTCCTGTGGAACTGTGGGATGCTGTGCTCAGTTTGTGCTGGGTGCTGTTAAGATCTCCTGTTAGCAGCTAGCGATAACGTGGGTTTGCCGGTGTGAAGGGAGTGTTACCCTTGAAGGAGCGGAAAGACATACTGGATACTGGTTGCTGAAGGTAACATTTGTTGTCCTAAAACTGTACTAAAACTTGTTTTATTTGCTCTGTCTTCAAACTGTAAAAAAAACATGGATACTGGTTTGTGTCACAGTCCTGCTATTGAAAAGAATGTCAATTTACTTGGCAAGTTGTCAAAATGCGGATATTTATGCTCTTCTCAGTGTGCCCAGCATTTAACTTGCACACTGTCTAGCAACAGCTGGAACTAAAGAATGACTTTTAATTAATTTTTACCACATCTTCTAGCAGGAACAATTAATTCAATGTCTTAGTATGTCTACTATTATCTTCTGTTCAGAAAAGCCGATGATGCACCTGAGTTGCGCAAACTGCAGCTGGTTCTTCCTTTCCTCTCTGCAGAAGGCTGCACCTCACAAGTTAAGGCCCAGCCCTTGCCAGTGTGCATAGGAATACTCGTACTGAATGCAGTGAGATTGCTCCACTGTGAGAGGTGGAGGCTTCGTGTTTACAACATTCTTAGGGATTCTAAATATGTGCAATAGACTCAGGAGATAAACATGAAGAAGATAATTGAGTATCTTCAAATGCAAGCGATGAACAATATTGGCAGCTGGTTTCAAGGTGACTGCATGTAGTTTGTGTTGTGGAATTTTATTACCTCTAGATTTCCGTATTTCATACGTTAAGAAAAGGTGATGTTAACAGCTAGAGGAGATTTGCAGCCTGTGCTCTGTTTCTGACAAGAGTCTTCAGTCAGGGAATCCCTGACAGTTTGGCAGGTGGCAGAGAGTTCTTCCCCATAGCTCTGGTCATCTCAGTTACCATGGCACATCGGGTTTCAAGCACAGCCGAATGCTGAGGATCAGGCAGGTGTTCTTGCTGCACGCGAAACAAAAATGGGCACACGGTTTTGGGGAGGCAGAATGTGCTCAGAGCAAATGACCTCATTTGCCTTATGCTGGTGTACAGGGAGCGCGTGACTCTGCTGGACTTGCTTCCAGTTAAAAGCTGGGAGGAAGGCTTCAAGCTGTTTTATTTCCTGTTCTCTGAACAAATGTAGGTTTTTCAGCCAGTGGCTTTCCTGGGGGGGGGGGGCATTCAGGGGGCTACAAATGCTCCACATGCACACTGAATGTCTTTTTCCCCATTGATTTCCTGAATATGGGCTGCATGGCTGTTTGAAAAGCACAGCTGGAGCGCTAAGGCAGCACAGCCTGGTGAAACGGCAGAGCTGGGCTTGGCTTCAACTCCCAATCTTGCTGTTTCAACACAAGTGTGAGGAAGAAAAAGCAGAACTGTAGGAATGAAACTGTCTCTACTTTGAATAGATCCACTCTGACAGATGGAAATAGGTTTGTGCATTGTAGCATCAAACCAAACAACGCAGTCATGTGAAGTGAGTGCTTCGTGAAAACATATATATTCCAAATACAGTGTTCACTTTTTTTTTTTTTTTTTCCTGCAATGCAAATGTGTATAACCAGGAACCATAACTCTGTACAACTGTGAGCAGCTCAAATGCTGGGTAAAAGTTCCTGCTGTGTTTGCAGTTCTGCTTAGTCAGGTATCTTTGCATCTCCTCTGAGCTACCAGTTGAGAGCTGGGGAGAGCCCAGATGTCAGGCTCTTTTCGCATGCTGCTTAACTGTCCATACTGAAATCACACTGGTTTGGCTTTCTTCAGACACAGAATTACTGTCTTTGGCTTATACGGATAAGCTACAGGGACAGGGAGGGTTTTAAGAGTGCTGCCCCACACTGTGGAGAAAAAAATGTGAAAAAGCAAGGAATTGCCCCAGGTCTCCTGAACTACAGATTAAGCATCCAAGTCAGGAGATTCCAGTTTTGGACAATGCACACACATAGGTTTTAAGTACTTTTAGCCTGAATGTTGTTTCTTGTTGTTTCTGACTGATTTGTCGCAGTATATCTGACTTCCACGAGTGCCTAACAACTATAGTGATATTCTTAAGTACACAGTGATCACCCCTAATTCCATTTCATGCAGATTGTTTCAGTTTCTGGCCAGCTTCTGCAACATTATTTCTGTTATACTTTTTTATAATGTAGATTTAGAAAACACTGAAAGGACTGATTAGATCCTGGGCTCCAGTTAAATGCAATTTAATTGCATGCAATTAAATGCATGTACCTGTTCTGAAACAGCAATCCAAATAAGAGCTGTGTATGTAAAGGTATTCATGCACCCACACAATAGCTTAGAATTTTAGTGTATATAAATATGTGTAAAGCTTGTGATATGTGTGTGTGTCTATATTGCCCCAATTTATACTGCTGACTTAGAACATGAATGCTGCAGCTGTGGACTGGATAAAGAGCCAGATTTATTACTGAAATAAATCAAGTGGGAGAAACACCAGTGTGAATCTGGACCCTATTGACAATATGTACAACAGAATTAATAATTAAACAATCTCACTATATGCTATTCTTCTGGAGTTTCTGTGAATTAAAACTGGTATTTCCAGTGCAATGGAACCTGCAACGGTTTCTTAGTATGGGTATAATTACTGCTAGAGTAAACACCGCAAGGGCACATTGATGATAAAGTATGTGCTCTTTGACAACAGGTGGCAGTATATGAAAAATATTCTTGCTTGCTGTGGGTATAAGGCCTCTGGCTCTGTTCTCTGCAAAAAATATGTGGTAGTAACAGAAGTGAGATTGTTAACACACACACACACACACACACAAACAGTTTCTTTCTCAAGGAGAGACTGTCTAGCAAGTGCATGTTGCGGGGTTTGGTTTTGTTTTGAGCTTATGCCTGGATGACTCACAGAGTATTGAAAAATTTCAGTGTTATAAAACAAAATTTCTGCATAAATTGTGTCAAATGTGTTAGTCAAAGGCTCTTTGGCTACATGAAAACACCATCAAAAGTGCTTTAAAGTGTTTTGAGGCTTTCTTTGAACAGTGTGTTGCTCAGGTATATATATTTTTTTGACCTAGCAACTGATAAGGCTGTAACAGATGCATCGGATATATAAGGCCCTCCTTTATTAGACTACTTTTCTCCAGAGTGACAAAGTATCCAGATGTCTCATTCCAGCAGATTACAGGTCACAGGCAGTTAATGATGTTCCTAACAGTCTATTCTCAACCTGGAGATTATGTTCAAGAGACATAATCAAAATCCATAAAGGATGAAAATTGTCTAAGTCAAATCTTGGCTTATAGCCGTTGTGCTCTGATATCGTGAGGATATTTTCAAAAGGCCAACGTCTGCCTGTTCGCTCTTTTCCCCTTAATGTTACAAAGGCTGAATTGTATTTCCCTCTGGGCAGAAATTATTCCTTAAAGTGTCTGAGGTCACAAAAAGATAATGCTAGATATATAGTCCCAGTAGTGTACTTGGAAATATGGAAGCCCTGGTGGTCTTTTTTGTCACAGTCAATTGCGTTACAAATAAAGCAGCCCCTGTCAGTCTCAGCTTTGCCGTTCCTAGAACCCCTGTTTTAATAGTTGTTTGCATTAATTGAAGCACACAACCAACCTCCTTTACTAAAGCTGCAA